TTAGGGGTTTAGGGATAAGGGTTTAGGGTTTAGGGTTGAAGGGTTGACGGTTTAGGGGTTTAGGGGCTAGGGTTTAGAAGCCTAAGTACTTACGTATACCATTTTGGGCTCTTGTTCGGGAATTCAATTAATTGAAGTTGCAGTTACCATCACTATCTTGAGGGTTTAGGGTTTAGCGTGTAGGATAATATACCCCAAAACCCTATTCTAGTTAGTAAGGCGTCTATATTACTGGACTTTGCAGTAACCCAGGAGAAAAAAGCAATGGTTCCTTTAAGGAACAGGTCCCCAACAAAAAAATATTCAAGTATGCTACTCCAAAGCCCAGTCTAGGGATCTTTGTGTAAGTTGGGAAGTGTTTAGGGCTTTCGGGGTTTAAGGTTTGGGGGTTTGGGCGTAGGGTTTAGATATTTTTTGGGGTGGGGGGCTCCTTTTTCCGACAAATTCACAAGGTTTAGGGCGCAGGGTTTCGGGTTTCGGGTTTTGGCAATAGCAGGGGCTTAGGGTTTAAGGTTCAAAAGATGTAGGTGTTATAAGTCCCCTAATATGGGTTGTAAGTATAGTTACCCTACTTATAATCCCCTTTATAACTACCCATGAACCTCCAAGTAATTCAGGGCTTCGGGTTCGGGGGTCGGCTTTAGGGTTTAGCGCTGCTTTGGGTTTACGGAATAAGAGCTACTTTAAGGGTTAACATAGGGGTCTTAAAAACTGAATAGGGTTTTGGCCCCTTTATAGGATCCTGATAATAAGGAACCCTAAGGAATATTGGTAAATTTAAGCTTCAATATGTACACAGCTACTCACGACAAGGGTTACGTGGGGCTTGGCGCTGCAGGGCTGCGCTGCAGGGTTTCAAGATGGAGTTTTAATGGCTTCCAGGTGTAACGTTTGAGATTGCCGGGCATTGCGGGATTTGGGGCTTGCATGAGGAGATGCTGCTTCAGGGCTAGACGACAGAAACTCTTAAAAGGAGTCCCCATGGCTTAAGATCTCTGCAATGACTGCTTCAGGGCTTGTGGTTTAGGAAACCTAAACCCTACGTCTAAATCGTTCAAGGTTTAGGCCTTGTTTTCGTTTGAATCCCTGGTCTTGCCCTGAGGTTGCAGGGCTGGGCCTTATCGTGATAGACTCCAGACAGGGGCTTGGGCCCTATGTGCACATGCTTCACTGCAGGTTCTGCTTCTTGGTGGGTCCATAAGGGGCTTACGGAGCTTGCGTCCAGTCCTGCTACCTGCCGATACACAGAACAAGCCCCAATACCAAAACACGACGGCCCAGGCAACGACTCTCTTGGACAACTGACGTCTTATATTGTCTTAAATCCTGAAGCCGGGAAATCATGAACCGAAACGGTCCTCAAGCTTTCAATCGACAGCCCCAAGGCATGACAAACAAAAAGCCAACCTCGACTTAAGGGCTCGGAACGGTTTAGGGTTTAGGGTTTAGGGTTTAGGGTTTAGCACATAGTCCGGGATGCGATATACCCGAAAGCCTATTGAAAACTCTTCAGTGCCGAATCCTTGGAAGGTCATGAGTAGTTATAACTGGGGTTATAAGTAGGGTAACTATACTAACAACCCATAATGGGGGACTTGGAAACCCATAAACCCCACTTATAACTACCCATGAACCTCCAAGTAGTCAGCCGCTTTCACTGGGGCATCGGCTGCGTCCCAGCACCGCAGGAGGAGCTGCAAAGTCCCCAGTCTTGGACCTTGCCAACACAAATTTTATAGGTTATAACTTAGGGTTTAGGGTTCAGGGTTAAATATAAATTCTTCTCCCTCTCGCTATATATGTATATAAATAAATAAAAAACAAATACATAAATAAATAACTAAATAAATAAATAAAGAAATATACACATATATATATATAATATATATAATATATATATATATTATAGTGTAGTATTTGCTATCTGGGATTGGTGGCTTCCAGGGTTTAGGGCTGGGGATTTAGACTTGGGAGTTCAGTGTGGGGGAATCTAGGACTTAATCTCTAAGGTTGAACCCATGGGCCCCTAGTATGGGCCCCCTAACCCCGGGATCCTTATACACAGACTAGATACCCTATATGTACCCCTAACCCTAAACCCTAAACCCTAAACCCCAAGTCCCTAGAAAGGATAATAACCCTAAACCCTAAACCCTAAACCCTAAACCCATCTTTGGGCTCAAGGACTTTAGTTGCGGGGGCTCCTTCTTTGAGGCCGGGGAGGGTGTGGGGCTCAGGGGCTGATCGACCTGGTGGCTTTGGGTTTAAGGTTTAGGGGTTTAGGGTTTAGGGTTTAGGGTTTAAGGTGTATTTAAGGGTTTTGGGTTTAGGGTTTAGGATTTATTTAGGGGTTTAGGGGTTTAGGGTTTATAGGGTTTATTTAAGGGTTTAGGGGTTTAGGGTTTATAGGGATAAGGGTTTAGGGTTTAGGGGTTTTGGGATAAGGGGTTTAGGGGTTTAGGGGTTTAGGGTTTAGGGCTTAAGGGTTTAGGGTTTAGGGGACTTGTAGCAGTGGAGGCCTTCTTGAGGCTTAGAGGGCTTACGATTCAGCTGAGTGTGTGCGCGATTTCTCGGATCTCTTCGCGGGCTGCTGGGCCTTTTTGGGGGTGGGACTCTTTTGGGCTGTAAGACCCAGGAACGCCAAAACCCCTTGATTAAGGAATATATACCTGAAAACTTATTGGGTTCCTATTATAGTTTAATAAGGAATATTCTATTCCTTAATTAAGGAATATACCATAAATCATATTCGGGTTCCTACTATAGTTTACAGTATATTCCTTAATTAATGGGTTTGGAGTCTCTTGGAGGTCCAAACCCCCGCTCACTACACCATCACTACACCCGAAGAATGATTTTCTCATGAGGTCCTTCTTGAATATATGTCCACATGATTTCCTGAAGGGTAACAAGCCAAGAGTATAAAGTATGGCAACATCAACATGTTTTCCAATCATGCACATGGGTACTCATCTTAAACTAGGGGTGTCGGTTGTGGATTTGTATTTCTCTGGAACACTCGCAAACCAAAAGGGTGTTCTCTAAATTCGGATCCGGTTCAGGCTCCTTTTTGTGAGGGTGCCGTACTAGTTTGGGGACCCGACAGGGACCCTAGTCTCAAGAGAACTACCTACAATATAGAACCCTCATTCTAGAAACCATATTAGAGACCCCTATGAGTGCATTTTAGTTTAGAGAACTACCCCCCAAACTCCGCTAGAGAGTGTAGGTACCGCCCGAACGGCCAAGCCCAACTGCCAGTTTCAGCGCACAAGCGGATCATAATGTACACTCCCAAGCAGCAAGATCCCTCTAAGAAGGACCCCTAAAACACGTAATAACAGATCATGAAGCAAACTCACAAGTAGCCCTAAACCCTAAACCCTAAACCAAAGACCAGACATGTTGAAGCAAACCCACCAGCAGAGACCAGACCCATCAGGGTTTATAAGGTTTATAGGGTTTATATTAGGATCTAGGGTTCAGGTTTAAGGTTTAGGGTTTTGGGTTTAGGGTTTAGGGTTCCCGCCTGCCACTGGCAATTGGAGAAGTCGCTGCACGACTCATCTGGCATGTGGATTCTCTAAACCCTAAACCCTAAACCCTAAACCCTAAACCCTAAACCCTAAAGAGAGACACGATTCGTGTGCACACGGAACCATCGAACCAAAGGATCCAAGTACTCAAATGGTAGCTACTTTGTACTTATCTGGGCAAAAGTAGAGACTATACTATGACTTGAACCCTTTTGGGAAAGTGTGTGTTGCATCCAGGATCTGCGGCTGAAAACCCAGGATTGAGCTTGCTTGGTCTTTGGGTCTGCAGCATGGGGTTCGGGGCCAGTTTGGGTTTAGGGGTTT